ACAAACCCCAGATCCTCGATGTCATATATACTTGTATACTGTATATTAATGTTATTTACAGGGAGGATTAAATATGGAGTGTATAGCAATGGTCAATACGATATTTCCAGAGGGAAAATCTTCTTTCTCTAGAAGCGGAACCCAAACCCAGTCATGACATGGAAGCTAACTTTTGCAATTAATAGAAACTTGTTTTTTGTTTTTTTTGTGTTCTATATTTGAGATGAAATAATATGAGATTCATTTCTACAAGAGGATGGAATGAATGTGAACTTGTATATTGAACTATACTAGTTAAACTAACACAATAACAACTTTTTGTCTGGACTCAATTATTATGTAAGAATGAATTGTATTACTGTTTACTGCATTAAATGTCAAGTATGCTATCTGTATTTAATTTCAAATGCCTATCTCACTTATCGAAGGTATGCAAGAAATGTTATTTTGAAACAAATTCAGCACAACCAAAACCATGTCCACATATATGACAAATCCAAGATGGCTGCCACAATTTTAGATCCATGCACATGTGAAGAAGTTAGAAATACACATGAATCACACGTCTCATCCCAAATGAAATCGGCAGTTTAAGGTTCTCACACATATCAACTCTATACCTATATACTTTATATTTGTGGTAAGGCTTGTGATCTAGGTAAACTTAGCATGTTCATGTACCTCCTATCCTCTGAAACTAAGAACAGAAATAGTGACTTCAATTTAGTAAAATGTATCTTATGGGCTCCATATACATTTTGAGTGGCTGTCCGGCTTAAGTTAGATACTACTGATAATCTGAGATTGAAAATTATGTCAAGTTTAGTCCTCAGCCTCTCATAACCGATAACGTTGAGGTAATTGTGTTGTTACTGCAAAAACCTCTATTTCTTAATCACAAATCTACCATCTTTTGCATCTGTCAAAACCCCTCCTTTCATGTTAATTTTCAGACTTTTACTTGTGCCATCATTAAATATATATATTCAACTTGTTATTCAGAATATTTTAAGAACTTTTCATGAGGTTTTTTATTTTCACACTTTTGAAAAAAATGACTAAGTCCGAGAATGGCCTCTTAATGGCATGTCCCCTTTGATTTAAAGATTCGGATTCCTGACAAAATTCTACCCCTAATTCATAACTCATACGTTAAATTTGGAAACTTTTTATTTTGACCTACTTTTCGGACACGCCATAACTTCCGATCGGATCGAAATTTGGTTTGCAGATTCGGATTCCTGACAAAATTCTACCCCTAATTCATAACTCATACGTTAAATTTGGAGAACTTTTTATTTTGACCTACTTTTCGGACACCATATCTCAAAAGTGGGTCAAAATACTTTCTGACGGCAAAAGGCTAACACTATTAGCACACTCTTGGCTACATGTATACACAATTTCGAAGAATATAATTGAAGTGTAGTGTCAGAATCGCAAAAATAAGGAAAACCTTTGAATTTGACCTAGATTTTGACTTAGGAATTTTGGTGTCCAAATTCTGAAGCTAGATGGCTTTTGAGGTCTCCTTCTTTTGGAGGCTTTCATTAAATTAAGCTGAACTCAGTCTATATTTCGTATTTTTCACTTCAAAAAAATCTTTTTTCCCATTGAATTAACATGGGCACAAAATTTAGCGATTTTTGAGTTTTCAAAACGCCATAACTTCCGAACCAGAAGTCGGATCGAAATTTGGTTTGCAGATTCGGATTCCTGAGATCATCCTACACTTATTTCATAACTCACATGTTGAATTTGAAGAACTTTTTGTTTTGACCTACTTTCCGGACGCCATATCTCAAAATCGGTAACAGAAATCAAAAATCTGATGGCACACTTATGAAAAGGCTGTTTCTAAGCTACATGATGAAAAAAAGACAAAGTTGTTTCGATAAATAACAACGAAGATAATTGATAGAATGTTGAAAATGCAAAATTTGACCTAGTTCTTGACCTTTGACCTAGATAAAAATTTGACCCAATTTCCCACCAACTAGATACTGAACCTAAATAAACTGTATAATGGTCTTTACTGGATACCCTATAGTTATTGAAAAAACTCAAAAAGAAAAATAAGAAGAATAATAAGAAGAATACTGGCAAAAACAATAGACTCCAGATTGACATCTGGAGTCTAATAAGAACACAGGCAAAAACAATAGACTCCAGATTTCATCTGGAGTCTAATAAAAAACTGGAAATGATAAAGGGGGCAATGAATCTTCTCTGCTAGACTCGCTGATTGCTTTAGGCAATAATCTTTAGGCGACCCTCTGCTAAAAATAACAACACTTAAATCTCCCATTAGCAACAGAAAAAATAATTGATAGACTATTTAGCATTGTCTGATTCTTTATTACCTTTATAATATACACTGTAGTCTATAGAACCTCATACCAACTTTATTGATCGAGGATCTAAGGTACAATATCGGAAAAGTCCATAATGTCTGTTGACATTGCAAATCAATCACTCCTTTGTAACCAAGTATTTAATCCTTCCAAAGAACTTCCCTTTTGTGCAACGAAGAAAAGGGAGAATTTATCAATGAAGACCAATGCGATAAACTCAGATATTCTATTTAGGCTTTAGAGAGAAATGAGCAATCTAAGATGTTTTATGGGTACACACAATGTAAGGATTTGTCTGGGGTGTGCTACTAATGGAGAGCTCAGTCCCCTGGAAAACTTTTAAAAGTCGAGTTAAGTCAACTTTGTAACTTTCTAAGGCAAAAATATTGAATATTCTAAGTTTACTTTTAAATCATAATTTCTCTTATTGGGGGAGGGGGCACACATGACCATGATATAAGGAAAAAAATAATGGCAATTGATTTTCTTAGATCTCTTTTCTTTCGAGAAATATCATTCATTATATAATATCCTAAGGACCCCTCATCTGATATCAGTTAACTAATTTATAATACATGTTCTTCCTGGCAAATATGTCCCATGTATGTCAATGGATTTAGAAAAATAAAGGTTATTGATAAGCCTGAATTAATTACAGTATATAGGTACCCTGAAGTAAAACATTAGGCAATTGATTTCAATACACAAGTAGTTGTGATGTACCCCCATTAAAATGTGGGGTCGATTTTTCAAATCACCCCAACAACTTCTTGGTCAGTGATCTTCCCAGGATTTTTTCTCAACTGGGTGCAAAATTCTAATTTCCATAATTCAGACCAAAATTGGTCAAAAATGCCATTTTTCATTATTTTTCTCATTTTCAAGTGGGTACAAATGGATTTTCAGATGGCTGCAAGCCTAATTTCAAAATCTCTGGTGGGTGCCACGCCCACTTGCATGCTGGGAATATCACTTGGGGTGATTTGAAAAATCAACCCCACATTCATGGGGGTATTGTGATGGTAATTTGAAAAATCAACCCCACATGGTGATATAAATTCATTATACAGTTCATAAATCCATTCAGGGGTTTCACTGGAATTTCACCCAACAGGTTAAATTATGAAAACAACAGGCAAAATTATTGGGAGTCATAAATTTAACATGAAAAAGTCGAAAAGTCCCTAGAAACAAAGGCAATTTTGTGAAAACATTAAACCGTTGAAAATCGCCTGTTGCTTGCTGCTAATGAAACCCCTGTCATTTGAAAGATATTAGCTGATGGCAAATGAGATGACTGGCACCAGAAAAATATATTTTCTAGAAATAATCAGATATGTAATGTTTAAACCTGCACATCACTTTAAAACACAATCTTGGGTTGTTCCTGTGTTAATTTAAGATTTTGAGCTATAGTGAATAAATAGGGTAAATCTTGTATACAAATACTCACGATAAATGTGTCATTATGTGGTTTGCTCGTTCAACTGCTTGGATAATCACCTAACAATCTGATTTTTGGAAGGTTACCCTACTAAAGCCCACTAAATTTACAATATTACATCACTCTCAATTAAAGAAAAGCTTGTAATGAACAAAAAAAATTGGAAACGAGTAGTATAGATTTGCTTTCAGACACTGAACCAATTTATTTAGATAACAGCGACATGTCTTCTTTGGTCAACTGCTCATTTTGAAGGTCTCATGTTATAACACAGAGTTGCATAGCCTTCTAATTGAAAGCCCATGATCATGGGAAATATTTTGACCAAGGAAAATCTTTTGTGTCTATTCTTTTGGGCCCCTAAAATCCCTAAAATTTTGAAATTTTGAGGCCCATTTTCTTCAAAATGGCCTTAAAAGGCCCAGTAATGACCAAAAAGGCCTTCTGTGGCTCAAAATTTTTTTTGGGCCCAATTTTTTTTTTCTGGGCCCACCCAAGGGGGGGCCCGGGCCCCCAGCCCCCCCCCCCCCCCCCCCTAATCCGCCAGTGCCACATATTGGTTTTTAAAGCAATGCCCTACAGGTTTAATAATGCCACTGGCGGATCTGGGAGGGGCGGCCCAGGGGCCCGGGCCCCCCTTGGGTGTGCTCAGAAAAGAAAAATTGGGCCCAAAAAAAATGTTGAGCCACAGAAGTCCTTAAGGCCCTAAAGGGTGGGCCTTTTTGGTCATAAATGGGCCTTCTGAGGCCTTATTTTTTAATTTTAGGTCAAATTTTGAAGAAAATGGGCCTCAAAATTTGGGCCCACTTATTTTCCACGTGAGCGCAAAATGTTTTTTCTCAGAAATTTGGGCCCTGCTTGTTGGTTCCCAGATCCGCCCCTGAATGCTGCCCTTATCAAACCATCACTTTAGACGTAGTTGGGGTTGTAGGATGCGATAAATGCTGCCCATGTAAGACTTTCACGTTGATGATAGATGAGGTGACAGGTTATCCCGTGTCAGGACTATGTAATAGTCATAGTCCTTGCACGGGATAAGTGACAGGTCCTTTTATTGTCATGATTTTGATAACGAAATTGAATGATCTAACAAATTAAAAAACAAATGTAAAATAACAATAGGTTATCATAGACACCAACAAGAACAACAAGATAACATCTAAAATAAGAGCTTTGAGATCAGAGGTTGTTTTATCACTCACCAACCCAACTGCAGGCTTGGCCTCTTGTGATGAAATATTTTTCATGAGATTCACATTTTGAGTTGAACCGCCATGTTTGACAACATCAAGCGAACTCCTGTACGGAACTTTTTTCAGGTCAAACTCACTTGACCCAAACCCAATCTCACACAAGGTGGGAAGATTCGTCATGCTGTTATATCAGCTATTGTTTGTGCTTTAATTTCTTCATTCTAACCCCGCATATCCTCCAAAATATTACTATATTCACAGCTCATGATTTTTCGTGTTGATAGGCACGGTTTCTAAATCCTCATACCAAATTTCAATAGGCAACAAGATTAATATTTTTCATATGACATGAAATCATCATAAGACTGAATATTATGTACAATGTACATGAATTATTACAATAAAAATGAAATGTAACTCGCATATAATTTATCTGATTAGTGAAACTAATGCAGAAACTTGATAAACTTCGCCATATATAATGCTTAATCTTGTTGCCCATGTAAAACTTTCTGAAAGTTTGAAAGTTGAGTAGCAAAAAACATTTCTTTATTTAGTGGGGCTTGGATGAATGAGAAGCACAGAAATATGGTTGCAGGTTACTCCAAGAAGTAACTCTACTTCCCCCATGTGAGCCTGATTTGCGTTTTTCTTATTTTTGACATTTTTAAGCAAACGATATGGATAAAGATGTCAAAATAAGAAAAATCTAGCCAGCCTCATATTTATGGGTAAGAGGTACATGGTGTCTTATCCCGTTCCAGGACTATAGACTATAGTCCTGGAACGGGATAAATGGTGTCCAGTGCACTGTCCATACTTTTTTACTTTTTTGCTTTTTAAAATTACAATACTAAGTCTGTGTAAAGTGTAAAGAGACTTTATGAACCTTTTTATTATGGCCTTTTTGCTAAAATGTGAAGTAATTGCAAAGGTGAAGGGCCAAACTATGGATTTTATGATAAACTTTTGTGATGTACATGTAAGCATGGGCTTTCAACTAGAAAGCCCATGATGTAAGGCTGTTTGAATGGTTTGAGGGTATCACTGAAACATCAAAGGTTGATATTCTGAGTATTTCATTTAGATGAGGGAATGAAGAGGGGGGACCCCAAAATTCAAAGATGAACCTATCTTCATGTAAAGATGGACTCCCTTTTAATGGTATATGACTGACACATGCCACTATATAATTGTCACTGGTTGGTCAAGTGACATTAATTTCATTCATTAGAAGCTAATTTTGTGAAAATATTTCAAATGACATAATTATATATAAGGGTAATGTACTTGGAGGTTTTGGATATGGGGTATATCCTGAGCGATATATTTACATCTCCCCGAGGAAACGAAGGGACCAAGGGGAGATATAAATATTTCCCAAGGGATATACCCTATATCCAAAATCGACCGTGCATTACCCGTGTATCTCATACTTGGGTGGGTGTGGGATAGACATAACCTTTTCCAACTTTTTCAAATGACAAGACAGGCCCATCCCGAAAAAAGCACAAGTTATATTTAACATTTTCGTAAATAAATATTCCTTTAGTTCAATACAATGAAATTGTAACGTTTAAACTTTTAAAAAGTTTTTAAACTTTTTAAATTTAAAACTTTTGAAAAATTCCCAGGACCAGTGTAAAAGGGTAGGTGGGCCTATCAAATTTTGGTCCTGCCTTCTATTGATTTACATGGTGACCTAATCACAATTATTTTCCTTATTATTTATACATAGTCAGGGCCAGTAAGGGCCGTAAGGAAAGGGGACCATAATCCCCAGGGGACCATAATTCCTTTTACACCGGGATGGATATATTATTTCTGCCCGCATTTGGTCTGGAGCAAGACATATACAATATCTCCTGCCAGCTCCTCAGATATGAAATATATTCCCTACCCCAAATCCACTCAATTATGAGATACAAATATATATATAATTTGGTGACAAATGAAGGTAGTATGCAGAAGAGGTATAGGCGCAATTATGAGTTCAGCCATGAACAATGGTGTTTCTCCTCTTGAGGGAGTGTAGTGTTAAACTTGACCCAGCAACATTATGAATTCAATACCAGGGAATACTGCAACATTAACACATGTACTTCTTTTTAACTTTTTATTCCAAAGTTTAAGACAATAATGTAATATACACTGTACATACACAATGATACATGTACATCATACAATATCTATGCATATATGTTTTTACTATTAAAAATACAATATATTATCATGTTGAATATTGACTAGCGAGATGAATTTAATAATATACTCCTCAAAAAAAGTTAAGGACCAGTGGTTTTCCTCATAGGTTTACATGTTAACACCCATATTTGTTTGAACAACTATTTTCTAGGCTTTGAACGAATGAACATATAAGTAACTTTGAACATATAAGTAACTTATAACAAGGCATTTAACATGCAAAATGTCATGACCAGCAGTTTGTTAAAGATGCCAAATGCCAACTGCTGGATGCCAACTGCCTTCATAAAAAAGTTGTGTCACCTTTTTTGGTGGTGACATAAAAAAACAACTTTATGTGTGATAATCATCTTAAACAAAATAAAAATTCAAACTCATGTTATTGTCATAAGGGATTTCAAAGTTTATGATACATTGGGCTATTTTGATCATACTTCTAACCATACAGACAAACCCTTTTTGCATTTTATCACTTGTCATTTGATGTCATAGAGCAAGTGGTAACAAAATGAACGAGGCCGACACACAATGAGATTGCTACACATATGCATATTTTAGACCACAGGGATAACCTTCCAAAGAGAAAATAAAATGTAAAATAAAGTCCAAAATACAGCAATATTGTTTTCCTTCCTTCATGTCCAGTGCACATGTCCTTTCTGAAAAGACCTTAGTGTTAAGTCCACGAAAGTAAAGAATCGTCTCTGGTGGTCAGGTGGTACTATATATTATGTGTTGTTCAAATTAACACTTTCAAGCACACTCAGTTCAACTTTGTCCGGTTGGATGTTCTTCTTCCTCCTTATATGCACGGGCAAGAATCATTCTATCCCTCATTAGTTTGAATAACACATAATACGTGGCGAATAAGAGAAAAGCGAGTGAGAGAACGTGACTCCATTCCGTAAATTGCACAATCATGAAGAACTGGTAGCCAATCAGAGCCCAGGTAAGTATTAACATCCAATTAAGAAGTCGGACAGGCTGGTGAAACATAAACTGGAAAAAAGTTTTAAAATAAGGGATAAATAGATGCATAAAAAATGAAAAAAATGTAGATCTAACATTGAGAAAATTCTATTACAATCTTCAATTAAAAGAAATTAAAAGCATGTTTAACACCAAAGGTCAAATACAAGACACCTTCAAAATCATGATATATTTTCAAACTCTTGTGGCCTGCTCTGTTGATTACTCAAAATGTGTGTTTCCTCATATAATCTATTTGTCCTGCTTGTTATAGACGGGTAGGAAGGAGGGGTTCCCATGCACCCGAAAGATGTATTTTTTTAATGTACATTTTTGTAATCCTAAAGGTCCATACTAAAGATTTCTGCATGTTCCCAGAATGAAATATTGTCCCATGGTATCCTTTGGCGGCCATCTTGTCGGCCATCTTGAATTTTTGAAAGAGTCGATGTTAATTATCTCAAAGTACAATAACTTCCACAGTTTTGAGAATTGAAAGCTGTAAGTGGTACCAAAATGAAGCTATTATAGTATCCCATATTATAAGATGTAATAATTATGCAAATAGTCTCATTTGCATAAAATGTGACATCATTAATCGTAATTTTTGCCTCTTTACAACGGTATCACACAATACCTTGCTGCCTGGGTAACCAGTCTTAGTCATCCAAGAACATACATGAATTTAAATATATAGGTACATTAATTTTGAACATATTTGCAAATGAAAGTTTTGGAAAAATATTGTCAGACACTAAGTAATAACACTTCACATGAGTATGTTACTGAAAAGGGGCGTGGCACTTCTTGAGAAAGAGTTGATTTTAATCATTTCAAAGTACAATAACTTCCAAAGTTTTGAGAATTGAAAGCTGTAAGTGGTACCAAAATGGAGCTAATGTAATATACTTATAAAAAATGCAATAATTATGCAAATTTTCCCATAATATGTGACAACCTCTATCATTTTTGACTTTTTTCAATGGTAACGACCAATATCTCTCCCTCTGGGTAACAGTCTTGGTTATTCATGAGCATTTATGATTTTAAATATATAGGTACATTAATTTTGAACACATTTGCAAATGAAATTTTGGAAAAACTTTGTAAGAAATTAAGTCTTGACACTTCACACGATTATGTAACTGAAAAAGGGGGGGGGGGGAGGTTGGCACTTCTTGTTCAAAATGTTAACTTCTAAACACTAATGTCAACTTCAGAGGCTGAAGCTGCTCTAGCAGAGTCATGTAGATAGAGCCCAATGTTGCTTATTGGTGAAATGTTGGCCAAATTTAGCAGCTTGTGTGCACTGCTTACAAGTACATGAAGTGTTCATTATGATAGTGTAATTCCAATATGACAGCACAATACAAGTCAGGCTATTTTATTGTCACATATGCAAAAGTCGATCCGATGAGACATGTTAGAAGTGGTAGTGGTTAATAATGCCCAGATCAAAGAAACGCAAGATAGATATTGAAGATAGGCCCACATCAAAATATGGGCATCCTCAGCTTCAATCATGACGCCATCTGTATTGTCCATCAGTGGGAGCTGTAACCCAAATACTGAGTATATGATTTAATGTATGTGTCATTCAGTTGCCATGCACTTGGGGCAGTTGGCGGTTTCTTCCTTGCCCCAAAGTCTGAGGTTTGATGGAGTTGAGACCAGGTCAGGGAAAGCTTTTAATAGGAAATTGAGCTCCCCTTGGTTCATGGACCAAAGGTCATTCCATTTCAAGAAGTGCTGAGAAGTGAGGGTTCCCAGGTAATGTCGTAAATCTGGAAAGGTCATTGAAATTGGGGAGTAATGTCATAACGCCTCGATATATGACTTGAGTCAATGGCTTTAAGCCACTTGTCCAGGTCCCTTGAGACTTCAGCTGTATTGTTCAAACCACGCAAGGTTTTGTCATATTTCTTCTCTAGACATTTAATTATTTTATCTTGCACTGTTGGTATTTGCTTGCCCTTTATTTTGAACTGCATTGGAGAAAGCTTGTCATCAACCAAAACCATACTTCTTGACCTGGTTGTTTTTTTTAACTTCATGCAAGTCCAGTTTCTTTCCATTCATTCATTCTTTCCATAGCTAATAGAACCCATCTGGTACCCACTACTGAACTGGTCATACATGTAACTGTGATGTCATCCATGAAAGCTCTGTATGGTAGATGTTTTGCACCTTCATTTGCTTGTGGAACCTTACACTGCATCATCCCTGCCTTGAGCAGTAGGTTCATGGATGTTGAAGAGAACTACTGGTACAGTGCAGTCTGCCACTATTCATTTCTCTGAACTCTGCTAATTAGTGGAATAATTGCCAAATGTATTGTGCAACGTTAAGGTGTCTGTGTGTCCCATTGTCAGATTGACTACACTACTAGTATCTACAACTATTTTTGATGTTATGAGTATTGGCTATCAATTTTTTCAATTTTTCTTCAACATATTGTAATGACTTCAGTATGAATGAAATGTACCTTGGTGTTCTGGTCCTGGATTGTGATATTGGTTCTCGATTGGAGGGGGAGGGGGATGTTCTTTTCACGTTAGATCATGGTTTTGGGATATATAGGGTCTACTTTTCTTATGACAGATTTACACTTATAGTTTGCTTTTCTTGTTGGGTTCCTTTAAAGTTTTTAGTCACCCTTCCCTTTGGCATTTGTGCTTATATATTCTGTTGGTTTTGGTACGTGAAAGTGAACTTGTACCTCTAGTATCAGTTGGTGAGGGACACTAGGTAGTCCTTAGGTCCAGCCAAACTACTGATTCTCTTTCTTGGCTTCCTTCACAAGTTGGCTTATTGGTGCTATATGCACCCTTGATGTCTTGGGATACCACTTTTCTGAATGCTTGGCAGGCCAGTAGGAAATAACTGCGAGGCTTGACAACAATGGCCCAGAAGATCTTTTCCTCAGCATCCAATAATGATGTCTACCTGAACTGGTTCAGTCCCTCAAATTTTAGCTCCTTTGGAATGAAGCACCTTTCCGCCGAAGCCCAAGTCCTTGCTAGATTTTTTTTGTTCTGGATGCTTGTTAGCAATCACCATAGATGTATTAACAGCTCACCGCAGTTCTTGTACACCCTGTATGTCACAACTGTTGGACCTGGGGCTGAGCCTTCTTGATGATTGTTCTTACCTCATCAAGCTTGAAATTTGACTAGTCAAATGGTTTTGATGATGAATCTGGTGGGATGTCAATTGGAAAATTATCCAATGGCATCTCTCGATCTGGGTCACTCTGTGCTGCCAAAGTATTTGCTTCTGCTTGATCCTTCGTACATGCCATATGGGCACTCTTTGGTTCCCTAACAAGTTTGATGTGAGCCTATAGAGATTTTCAAAGAATGTCTTTCTGGTCCTACGCTTCTCTTTTCCTGAGTGTTTCTATCTTTGGAAGAAGAATCTTTGGATGACTAAGATAAAGTAATCTCTTAAGAAGCATCTGTTGGAGCTCTCTGATCTTTTCACTAGATAATTCCTTCACTCCTTGTCCTCGCATCTGGGATGGAAATCGTTGTAGCTTGGACAAGAGGTAGCATAGTGAAGAGGCTGGGCTCTGCCTCCCACTTCTATTTGGTGCATAACTGCATACCACCCTCTTGTCTTAATAGGTCTTGGATTTTTAAGCTGATGAGATATTTTAGTCGGTCTTCAGGGTTCTCACTAGGCTTATTGGCACCGGAGATGTCTTAAAACCCTCTTGCTCCAGAGTCTAATAGCTCTTCCGGAGTCTAAAGTGTTTTTTCCGGAGTCTAATCTTACATTTTTGTCACATTATTTGCGGTAAAACTCTTGAGAAAATTCATAATAGGAAGTCAGAAACCTTTTAGAAATAAATATTGAGATTAACATAGCAAGATAATCTTAAGAAGTATGTTGAAAAGTATACTTATAGGATCAGAAATGGGGGAGAAGTAGTCACAATACCGCTAAAAATCCGGGTCTAAAAATTTCCTGGTGAGAACCCTCGTCTTCTGAAGGTACTGTGAGCTCATTGAAGATGATGGTCCTACTGTGTTTTGACTTCAGCACTGAGTTTCTGGAAGAGGTCAGTTGAGAGTCCAGTCGGATGTCTTGGATAAAACATTGGACTGAGGTAGAGGCTTAATACATATTGAGTTAATTATATAGCTTTAACAACTAAATACTATGGGTACCCATTTCAGTTCATTGCCTATCCTAAAATGATATGGGGATATGTGGTCATTCGTATCTGTTTAGTACTTAGTCCAAAAGCGATACCGATTATAATATCTTTGGCTGAAATTTAAATGTCTGCCAAATAGACCAACAAGAACTTCTGAACAAGCTAGGATTAAAGGACATCACTTGGCTACTTTCTAAAAGTCAATAGCTATATTTTACATCCGGGGGGTTCACTGTATATAAACCTTGACAGGGGGTACCTCTTTTAACATTTGGTATGGCAATGGATCCAAATTTTAGGATCTGGAATGGGAGTGTCCCAAAATTATGACTTTTGAGGTATGACAATGGTTGGATTTTTCTACTTCATGGTACAAGAATGGTTATGGAGAATATGTTACCTCTCACTTATAGTATGGTATTGGTCTAGTTTTTACAAATGTCCTTAATTTGAGGTTGTTTTTGGATCATTTTCCTAAAAGTTCTGCCTTCTAGGGGCTTTAGACATTTTGCATTCTCTTGGTCTTATATTTTTGGGATATTTGGAATGGCATTAGTCCTATATTTGGACATTTGGTATAGCATTGGTCTTATATTTTTTGATATTTGGTATGGCTTTTGGGCGTTATTTTGGTTGGTATGGGAACACATTGAAATTCGACAGATTGGTATAGGAACAAATAATATCTGAGGGCTCAGCCTAGGACCCCTACAGAATTGTGTATTCAGTGAACCCCTGGGTATTTTACAGATGATACATTGACTATATAATAACATTACAGATTTTCAACAAGATCCACGCCCCTTTTCGGAACAATAATCATTTGAAAGGTCATACCTTAATTTCTGACAATGTTTTTCTAAAACTTTCAATGCAAATATGTTCAAACTTTCAATTGCAAATATGTTCAAAATGAATGTATACATTTAATATATTTTATATATTCATGAGAGACCAAGACTGGTCACTCAGAGGAAAAGGCAATATGCATTACCGTTGAAAAGGGGAAAAAATAATGATTGATGATGTCATATTTTATGCAAATGTGGTAATTTACATTATTATCGTATCTTATAATGTAGGATATTGTGATACCTTCAGTTTGGTACCATTAACAACTTTCAACTCTCAAAACTGTGGAAGTTATTGTACTTTGAAATGATTAACATCAATTCTCTCTCAAGAAGTGCCACGCCCCTTTTCAGTAACATAATCATGTGTCTGACAATGTTTTTTCAAAACTTTCAATTGCATATATGTTCAAAATTAATGTACCTATATATTTAAATTCATTTATGTTCATGAATGACTAAGACTGATCACTCAGGCAAAAAGGTATAATGCGATACCGTTGTAAAGAGGCAAGAATTATGATTGATGATGTCACATTTTATGCAAATGAGACAATTTGCATAATTATTGCATCTGATAATATAGGATACTATAATAGCTTCATTTTGGTACCACTTACAGCTTTCAATTCTCAAAACGGTGGAAGTTATTGTACTTTGAGATAATTAACATCAACTTTTTCAAAAATTCAAGATGGCCGACAAGATGGCCGCCAATGAATACCATGGGACAATATTTCATTCTGGGAACATGCAAAAATCTTTAGTATGGACCTTTAGGATTACAAAAATGTACATTAAAAAAATACATCTTTCGGGTGCACGGGGACCATACCTTCCTACTAGACTATTATGCATACTTCTGCTGTTAGCCATTTTTCCAGTATCATATGATCCATACATTTCTGGATTGTTAGAAGTGTTGCTAATATTATGTTTTCTCACTCAAATTATACTCACATAAAATCGTGTATGCATTCCATTTGCAGGGGATGCAGAGTTGTTAATACCCTCAGCTTTAAATAAACCCTTGACATGTTTCACTACAACTCCCTGATGGAAGACTTGCAGCTCTGACCAACTGAAAAATAGATCAATGTCATTGTAGTTCAAACTAGCAGTTCAACCAGTCATATGTAAAACTTTAAATTAATACAAGTAGTTAAATTCATCTACCCAAATATATTTCATCAAATATTATGTCATGTTGAAACAGTCAAAATGTCATATTTTCAAATATAGTCTAATTAAGTTAATGTTTGCAGAATTAATACCACATGCTCTTTATGGTTTCCTTTATACTTGAAAAGTTGAAGTCAACTTAACTATAAATGAAAATACACAATTAAATACTTTTACTTCATGTTTTACAGTTGAGACTTACTCTTGTTATGAGGTGAAGAAATTTTACACTTATGTTTAAATGTTTCATGTCAGTTAAATACAGGAAAAGATTTTAACAACGTCCTCCTTTTGACAAGATGTTAACTTACGCATGATATGGCACATGTGCATTGCGTCCTTCCACCTTCTGCCAGCGGCCCAAATGTAAAGCACACCTAATAATAAGAAAAGTAAAAATAAAAGAGGGATTCATTTTCAAATGTGCCAAATATGTTGCCCCCCTCCACTGTTTTATTTTCTTAATCAGTATACTATATAGTAGCATGACCCAATAATTTGCAAGCCTACTTCCATCAAGAAGTACATGAATATTGCCAAAAATTGTAAACCTAAGAAATAATGAGTGGCATTTTTGACTACTGATGGTATCCTGAACAATCCTAAGATTACAGGTCTCATAGATTCTCTGAAGACAATTCAAAATTCCTGTGAAAAAAGACCAGTCAGTGTTTACCAGTTTTTCTGATATGTGAAAGTGAATTACTCAATAATACTTTACCTGTGAAGCATGTCTATGTACTTTGGTGGCAAGAAGTGAATCATAAACATGAGGAACGCACAGAGCCACATCAAGCAGATATGTTGCGTCACCCACCAGACGTCATAGTATAGCGTGTTCTACAATTAAAAATCATGGACTGTTTAATGTATGTTTGAATTGTCATATTTTACTTCATACAAAGAAGTAGTCTTGCTTCTAGACCCCCAATCCCCCCTTTATCTATTTCTATTTTAGTCTTGAAGACTAAAAAATAGATACTAGTAGTAGATATGATATAAGATAATTCCTGAATGTATTGGCAATAAATCCATTTATCCTATGCCAAGTAGAGTTTTAGGGAGATAAGTTGGTAAGATATATCCCGTATCGCCATATCTCCCGCTTCGGTGCATATCTTCCCGCTTCCGGTGCATATCTTCCCGCTTCCGGTAATGCAATAAATAAGACTTTGCATATGAATGATTTGTTTATTTTTACACCTTGTACTATTGAAATTTCCATATGCCCCTGGAAACTCTACTTGGTATAGGATAAAGCAGTTATGTATGGTCGATTTGGATATTGGGTTCATCCCTCGTGAGATATGCACATCTACCTTCGGTCCCTATAGTCCCTCAGGTAGATATGCATATCTCCCTCTGAATAAACCCCATATCCAAAACCTCCCAGTACATAACCCTTATATATGTATAAGGTATTAATGTTAAAAAGAAACAAGTATTTTCCTCAAAATAATGAATGAATTTTGACTGCTATTGCCTGCTACTGAAGAATTGATGTAATTATGTTAATGTATGTTAATCTTATGTTACTAGTATCTCACCTGTGCAAAACAGACAGGTATGAATCCCATGTAGTATGCACACAGCATTGAATTAAACAACACCTGCTTAATTCTGTTGTTAAAGTCATTTTTAAAAAACTCCACTTCTTCACGAATAAGTTCTGGGGACATGGTACACACGTGAGATATTACTGGATCTTTTGTTTTATGTCGAGGACTTTGTGGTTTTTCCGAGACTTGAGTCGGCCACACCATGGATTTGTCATAAAGTGGCCGCATGCTCACTCCGAACAATATTAAATAGGTTGCCAATCTGAAATTATATATATACATACAAAACATATGTCAGTATTTCTTAGAACAACTATTTTGGAAAAATAATCTTAAATATTTTATAGTACTGGAAGTTGTTAGATGTGAACCATAATTAGGAGTAATTTTTTCAAATATACATCTCTTATCATTCATTGTATTGTGACATCACATATCATAATCAGAGGATGGAATAAAATCATGTGTCCGTCATTAATTTGAAAAGAAACTACTTACGGGCAGCATAAATATAAAGAGTATAAAAGTTTGTGGGCCATTATTGTGTGGTAGCCACTCCATAGTAAAAGTCCAGTTACACAGGCAATCACACATACTTTAACAGTCTCAACTATCCAATAGTTAAATGTATTATGTGACTTCGATCCAAAGACCTGCAACAACAAAAATGTATATGTATGCATTGAGATGTTATACATTTTAAAAGGAAGAAGGGTCTAAAGAATGATTGTTTTCAGAAAAAAATAATCTCATTGGTGTTCCAGTAAACAAAAAGATTGAAGTCACCAAAACAGCAATTAATCTAAGCTTGCAATATTCTAAATTCGAAAACTTCAAAACATGGTGTCTTTCAAAAATGGTCCTTTAAAAGAGAACACATAGAGCATATAGCTATTCAGGTATATACATGTATTGACATTACCTCTTTAACAAAGCACCACACAACTCGCCTGCTCATCAACAGAGTTAGGAATATCACAAGATAGGGGTTGATCAGGTAAAAGTTCTGAAATAACAATAATAAGTGATTTTGCAATGAAGTACATGTATATGTACAATAAAATATACACATACACAACTAGTGAACTTGTGAACATTCTTCTGACCAATTTTTTTAATTTTTTTATTATTCAAAAAAGATGTTGCCAGACCTCAAGAGGGAGGGCAAAAAGTTGTGACATTATCCCTTAAATTGGTCTTGTTTTGGGGATTTGAGCCATATTTTGTCCATGGTAAGCAAAGAAATATGCAGTTAAATTCAAATTTGAACAAAACTTGAATGAGAGTTTACTTTTCAGGCTTATCAAAAAGAAACATGTAACAGAAACATATTAGGCCAATACAAAACATGGACCCTCTCTGTAAGGATTACCAGTCTACAAGGCACAGTTTCAGCCAGTATAGAGACTAGAGAACATTCTTTGTACACAGCTTTTACTATTCTAATTTATCTATCATCTTACAAGGAGATCAGACACGAGTGAAAATGTTAACATTGCTTTCACTTACCAAGGCATATATTTCATGTGAATGAGGCAACCACCACACAGTCTTGTAAATACTGATATACTGCATGCACATTGACACTACAGAGAAGACAAACAACAATGCCTCAAACGTGAGATTACTTTCCGATGGTATTTCTGGTATATGTGCATGTTTAGGGTGCACCACTAAGGAGGCCATGGGACTTGCATCGTCAGCATTCCTGAAATGGATAAATTAATGTGCATTATATGTGTTAATGGTACAACAGTACCGGAGAGGTTCATACTATAAATATTGAAAATTGGAAAAATGTCTGAAATGTCTGTTTGGTGACCTTTCCAAAAGTACAACTGAATTATTTTTCAGTCACATTTTAGAGGGCTGAAAAAGATATTCATCATGTTTTGGCCTTAGGGTCATTTTAACCATGTCCATTGTGACCCTGGTCACATAAATGATATGTGCGACTGGTAAAATTGATTGAATGTCAAAACAGAACTCTGTTATCTTAGATCAAAAAACTTAAAAAATCCAGATTGTTTTGCTGCTTACTTTTTAAAGGGGCAACAAGGCCCGTAGAGAGAAAATTCATTTTTCTGAGCTTTCAGGGCAACATTTGACTTAACATCTTCTTAGACATACCTACTTTCTTAAAATACATAGATAAACTATAGAGATGTCACAGAACAAAAAAAGATCGGAACGGTTCGGAACATTTTGCTTCGGAACGGAACAATTTCGGAACGGTTTGGAACAGAGTGACTGTGTGTATTAGATTAAAATAATTTGATCATCTGGTCTATTTGGTAGCGAAAAGCATGTCAAAACTCTTCAAAGAGAAGGAGTAAAAAGAATGAACCTCTTACGTTCAAAACATTGAAAGAAAAATGCTGTTTTGTGGATATTCAAGGGCCAGAAGTTGTGAAAGGGTAGAATGTTCTTGTTCCGGAACCGAAATTCTTTTTGTTCCGTGTTCCATTCCGAGGGCATAATTCTGCAGATCGGAACAAAATCTGGTATCCATGACACCTCTAATAAACTATCAATTTCAGCATTAAGAAGTTTACATTCAGGTCAAAGCTTCCATAAAGGGACTCCTACTTATAGATTTTTAAGATCTGCCATGTTTCACGAGGAATATCAGCTTAAATAATGTTCATCCGGGGAGTTTCTTTGTAAATAATAAAAATATATTTAGTCTTGATGAAATATCTGAACTTAAATATATTTTAATTTGACACTGGTCGATGATCGTTGAACTGCCCCTCTGCACTAATAGACTAATATGCGATAGACGAAAACATGGTCATTAACATAAATATCTCCCACAATGCATCACTTTAAGTGGGACAAATTTTAATTGGTCCGTTGATTAAACCAAATTCTCCCAACCTTAAAACCATGTTTTTGCGTATTGTTGGGATGATAAAGGTCATACTAATTTCAAGTTACATCACTCACAATTGATATAAGCGAAACATATATAAACATGACATCAAACCCGCATTATATACACGAGAACTTGCTTCTTTTCATATCAAGTCATCGAGTCTCAGCTTCCGGGAACAAGGTCAGTGACGTCACCGTAGAACATTTCATGATTATTGACAGTTTCGAATAATATTCTTGAAAACGCTTTGCAGATTGCCATAAGGACCTATATTTTTATCGATTGTGCAAATATCCATGAAGAGGAATGTCAAATAATGCTAAAATGATGTATTCAAAATCTGACTCAGTATATTTCAATGGGGAAAAAACCCGGGGGTAAAAAATCTGTTCCTGGAATTGGAGCTCTTCAACAGGGGAGGTGAGAATATTGTTGTCATTCTGAACTATCGGAACACCTCTATTGTTGCACCTTTAACTACCATGACACCTGAATACAGGCTTTTGTACATTTTCAGAAATTCAAGCCCATGCTGTAAAGACTGTAACATGGCTATAGCGAGAGGGGGTTCATGGTAGAATATATCCTCTAGTCTGAAATTTCTTTGAAAACTTTGAATGAAAATATTCAGACTAATAACGCACATGTGTTAAAATTTGGGATCAAAAATTATTTGTTTACATAGGAAGTACCATTCAAAATGGCCAATGGGTTTATTTGTTACTTCCTCTAAAGTCGGAGACATTAATAAACCTCAACCATCAAAAGTTGTCACAATGAGCTTAATTCTAAGTTTCGTGTCTCAAACTCTCCCAAGCGGTAGAAAAATAATTCCAGTTCACTTTAAGTAGTACAATAAATGAATCCAAAGCTTCATACCAGCAAATGATGGATAAATTCCTACCAAATCGAGCGAATGTTTTCATGAATCGCCGTGTTTGAGATCCAAGGAGGATTGACTCACAGAATGCAACATCAGGTAACCTTATTTACTCGTGACAGATTTCAAATGGCGGAACGGCATTTTGAAAGCTGACACGTGTCATGTTGCTTTCTGGGAGCCAATCCACATTTCGGCTTAATCGGGCTCCAAAATCACCTCAACATTTGAAGAGTCGGCATTAACATGTGAATTCCACTTCAAATTTTAAAGTTTTTATTTGTCATTATGGACACAAATTCCACTATATCTGGACTTACTAGGACAAAGAAAATAGAGCACTGAATACACTGAGGTAAGAATTTATTACATGTGCGACAGCATGTAATTTCCATAGCTTTTGTAATTCTTTATGTTCCCCACTGTAGCTTTATATTCACTTGACAATATACCGTGTTACTTTTTATAGCAATTAATTGTACCTGACTGACTTATAATCAGCCCAATAAATCGAAGTTTGACCCATCTCCCCTAACCCCAATGTCAAATTCCGAAATTTGATTGGTTCGCTGAAACCTTTTCCGCTGTGCGAATCTCCCTTATAAATCGAACCCCCAGCTGGTGAAAAAATAGAACCCCACTTGGTAATTCCTGGCTACACCACTGTGTAACCAGTAAAACAGTGAAGAAATCAAGAAAAAAATATACCCATTTATGCCATCCTTTACTTTGTCTTTCACTGCCCCTATCGACACTCCATGTGTCCTTGGCAATACACGACGTCCGGATGGCATAATTGTTTTTGTTCACATTACTAAATTGGAATTAGTTTGCTTGGAATACCAAAAATCATGGAGAAACAAAAATAAATATTACAATATTTTGTAACCGGAAGTTGATATGAGATTTCAATTTGCGTTCAAATAGGCATATGTTATACCCAATTTCATACAGTATATGATGTAGTTCTAATCATAATTACATATACAAATATTTTTACCAGCATGAGAAATAGGTTTGATAAGTATATGATAATAAAACATTTAAAATGTTTCATGCGCAAAACATAACGCCAAATTTACACCGCCATTTCAAAAGAGGGAAAGTTTATGGGCAGAAATTTAACATTTCATGATTTATCTGCCTGGCTTCGATAGGTTTGTTATATTGCATTTTATAATAACAACGTTAGCAATTTGTTTAAGAAAATGTTCCCGTAGTTTGCTAGGTTTTGCATAGCATAACTACACCTGTGTGACAGTGTGTCTATTTTTTCATTTTTTTCACTGTGATCGCCAATACAGCACAAAACTGAACGCCAAAAAAAACGAACGCATTTCGATCGGACTTTTCACGCGGATACCGTATATGTCATGCATTTTTCTCGAAATATTTTGAAGAAAGGTGTTCATCATTTGTAAGTCACTCATGGGTGTTCCCAAGTTGACAGGCCTGCTAGTGCTATTGGTGCCCGAAATTGGAAAAATAATACCCATATTGAGTCCCTCATACAACTCCTTTTTATAGTTAAGTGTCTTGAAAAGCAAGCATAACATTCGACTCCTTGTTGATAAATTATGATTTTTGGTGACTAAAGTGGTCCTTTCGTTTGTGCGACAAAAGTATGGCAGGCTAAGTTACAGCCTCATTTTCATTTATTGAAATATTTTTAAATTTAGCTCCAGATACAAAAAACATTGCAAATTACACCGTTCAAGTAAAAGACATAAGTTCAGTTGCAAACATATTCCAAAGAAGTGGAAGAAGCAACTCTGCAATTGTCAGATTGTTGCTTGTTTACATCTGAGTTATTAAATTTCTGACCTATTGTTTTGTATTTTCAGAAAATGGCTCAACATTCTCGTCAGTCAAGCAGCAGTGGACGTAAAAAGGTGCAAGTATCATATGTCATTCGGGATGAAATTGAAAGGACCCACCGTTCCGGTGTAAATTCACTGAAGTTTGACCCAATGTTGCAGCGGCTTTACACTGCTGGTAGAGATTCTATCGTGAGAATATGGAACACAAGAAATGCAAATGATCCGTATATTCAATCTATGGAACACCACACTGACTGGGTCAATGATGTTGTGCTGTGTTGCGGGGGAAGAACTCTTATATCTGCCTCTAGTGACACAACTGTCAAAGTATGGAATGCCCATAAAGGATTCTGTATGTCAACATTACGCACACATAAGGATTATGTTAAAGCATTGGCCTATGCGAAAGATCGTGAACAGGTCGCATCAGCTGGTTTAGACAGAGCTATATTCCTGTGGGATGTAAACACACTAACAGCTCTTACAGCTTCAAATAACACAGTCACTACATCATCACTCAATGGTAACAAGGACTCTATATACAGCCTAGGAATGAACCAGCCTGGCACTGTTATCGTATCCGGGTCCACTGAGAAGGTTCTGCGGGTATGGGACCCTAGAACCTGTCAGAAGTTGATGAAATTGAAAGGACATAGTGATAATGTTAAAGCCCTGGTTTTGAATAGGGAGGGAACACAGTGTATTTCTGGGAGTTCAGATGGAACCATTAGATTTTGGTCACTAGGACAACAACGTTGTGTGCAAACTTTGCGCGTGCATGATGATGGTGTTTGGGCTCTGGCAGCCAATGAGACATTCACAACCTTATACAGTGGAGGACGGGACCATCGTGTGTGGGCTATTGATATCCGTAACCCAGAAAACAGGACATTAATTTGCGAAGAAAAAGCACCAATTTTAAAACTAGAGCTTACACATTCTGAACCACCATCTTTGTGGGTCGCAACGACTGATTCCACAATTAAAAATTGGCCAATTAGGATACAAAGTCAAAGACATTCGGGAGATTTTGACGTTAACCAAGATACAACTCCAACTTCAACCCAACCAGAATTTACAATAAAAGGTGGAGCCAGTATCCGACAGTATACTGTTTTGAATGACAAGAGACATATTATGACTAAAGACACAGAAAGTAATGTTGCAGTATGGGATGTTCTTACTGCAAGAAAAGTTGAAGATCGTGGAAATGTTAACATGGAAGATGAGGCGAAGAAAAGATTCACCCAAGTCTATGTTCCAAATTGGTTCTCTGTTGACCTTAAGACAGGACTGTTGACAATACACTTAGAGGAATCAGATGCTTTTGCAGCATGGGTTTCGGCAAAGGAAGTTGGGATGTGTTCAACGAATGATTCTAGTGATCCGAAATTGAACTTTGGTGGCCTACTTCTTCAGGCTTTGCTAGAATATTGGCCGAGGACACAATTTGAAGAGGAAACAGATGCTAATGAGCTCAATGGAGGCTCAGATAATGAGAGACAAATATCTGCATCAACTGGGAATAGATATTTTAGTATTCCTGGGCATACTCCTGTCATATTTAGTGAGATAGGTAAGAATGATACTCCATTACAAAAGTGCTTGGCACTTAAGGCTTACATACCACATTACAATTCGTTTTATCAAAATAGAATAAATAAGATGTTGTTAAACTATTTTAAATCATCATGGGTTGGAATTGAAGATTTGTCCGCTTTGGTGGAGCATGCTATTTTTCAAGAAAAGTCAAAAAAATCTTTTTGACTCAATATACCAAAAAAAAACTACTCCACTGGACCATCACTTCTATTTGGAGTCCAATAATGCTAGGAGTAAAAGCTTTTAAAAACGGCACCAGAGTATCATACTCTGAAATCAAGAAATAAGTTGTGAAATTTTCTTAGTGTTTTTATGAAAAATAGAATGCTCAATCAATGGCGAACTAAGCTTTTGATTCCAATCAGTGATAATTACATGTACCTGGTTCATAATAAAATACATATGTATTGTCAAAGATCTTAGTGTTCATGCTACATTGCAATTCATGTTAACCTTTTCTCATCATGTGTATTTACCATTTAGGTGGTAGAACTTTATTCCGACTCCTCTGTCGTGATGCTGGTGGTGAAACTGAGCAAATCCTCTTAAATGAAACTGTACCATCATGGGTAGTGGACATAACAGTCGAGAGGAATGTCCCAAAGTTCAATAAAATACCCTTTTTCCTCCAACCTCACTCAAGCTGTGGAACTAAATCATTGAAAAAGTAACTTTTTGAAAGTTTTATCTACTGTTATCTGCATGATAACATCTGCATCTGCATCTGCATCTGCATCTGCATAACACATGATTTTCAAACTCAAAAACATGATCTTTGTCAGGATATTATTATTAGTTCTCATATTATTAGGCTTTTAGTTGTATGTGTTTTAGAAGGTTCATGTGTGGTCTGTGTGGCCCTTCATACTTATGCAATAGTAGAATATAATATACTTGTAGTAAAATAGCTAGTAATTCAGATTGATGATGTGAACCAATTCTTATTTTAATGATTATATACTAGATATAGATTATTTCAATGTCTAGTACACATAGATATACAGGTATGATAGGCATGGGGCCTACATCAGCATTACTGGACATTGCATGAAACTTGGTACCCTTGTAAACTCTGCATATTATGAAGATATATTATGTTTTCCATTTCCAGGGATCGTCTCTCTGCAAGTGATATGCTGCAAGTAAGAAAGGTCATTGAACATGTGTATGAAAAGGTCATAGGTCAAGGGTCAGAGACAGGTTCCCAGACTGCCACAGGGAACTCAACTGCGACTGAGAAATCTGAAACAGATAAAGATGATGATCAGCACTCCATTGCTGAGGAAAAAGTAGAACTTCTATGTAACGACCAGGTAGGTTTCAATGAGCCCTAAATCCTTATACCACATGGTATTTGAATGATCATATCCTCCCATCAACAGCTTATCATGGATATCTTACCACCATATGTTTTACATCATATTATGGAGTTGATTAAGTTTTACAAGTTTCTACATATCTCTGCAAAACTGCACCAATAACGTAGATGCGAGTAGGTAGTTACCAGTTTCATCACCAGGTGGCTCGTTCGGGTCAGATAACATGGCAGTTATACTAGAAAGTTCCCCTTGACTTAAATTGCATCTGTTTTAGTGGTTCATTTATCATATCACCCTTATGTATCTAATAGTTATGCAAATTAGAATATGTCCAGTTAACGAAAATGTTATCTGTCCAATACAAGAAAAGATATTTCACTTTTTGTGATTTTGTAATATGGGGTCTATGGGGAATTAACCCGAACTAGAAGTCACATTTTCAAAAAAAATTAAATTTTCAAAGTTGATGAACAATTTTCGGAACCATATTATTAGTGCAATATTTTCTCAAAATTGGCTGTTAATCCTGCAAACAGCTATGATAGCCATGCCTCAGAACACTATTGTCCATAGAATGCACAAATTAATACAATTCATGGATACTTATAATATGTCTCTCTAAAATGTAAAAGACGAGTTTGTTAAATATTTCAAAAACACCTAAGAGAGCTCTAAAAAGTACAATGGATTATTATATTTGTTATTCATTCTATCTTTATTCATTTATATTCATACATGTAAGTCATAGCCATACAGGCCCGTAGCCGGGGGGGGGGGGGGGGGGGGGGGGTTCGATGGGTTTGAGCGAACCCCCCCTGGTCAAAAAATCTTTCAAGATCATGCAGTTTTTCAGCATTTTGAGCACTATTTAAGTGGTTTTGGCAATTTTTGGACCAATGTTGTTACAAGTGAACCCCCTCTGGAATTTTTCAAAAAGTGAAGTCCCCCTTGGCAAATCATGGCCACTGGCCTGGCCATAGGTAAAATGGGCCGGATGAGGGGGTGCTTTGTTTACAAACCAGTTAATAATATGCTTTGTGAAAATTGATACATTTCTTTAATATGATGCTTTAGTTTAAGTCTTTATTTATTTGTTTACAGGTATTGGATCCAAATATGGACTTGCGCACAGTAAAACATTTTATCTGGAAACAAGGAGGTGATTTGACACTGCATTACAGACCCCTTAATAATAAATAACTAAAGATACTGTTTCAAATGAGTAGAGGGTTTGAATGCTGATTAGTCAGAGCAGATAGGACTGAACAAGGAAAAGAAATAAATGATCAAGGAAAAGATAGACATGAACATGGACAAGATATAAATGAACAACGAAAAGAGAGGATGAAAACCTTAACAATAAGTAACTTAGACTGCATATAAAGTGTCCCCTTGTATGTTGCACATGTTGCAAAGGATGGTGCTTGTATAACATTAGAATGCCTATGTAAAACCATGTGAACAAAATCTCACCCACCATATTGGAATGCTGGCTACAGTGGCATCAGTATTATATATCTGAGGATTGTATTTACAAGGTTATGTGAAATTAAACTATTTGAACACAAACTCCTACACCCACAATAGTACAAGGGATGCAATGGAAATGGAAATGTTAATGAAAATATCATCAAAAATTATGAGCAACTACTTCAGAGACTTGTTGTATGCTCATGAGGTCAGACAAAAATGACCAATAGGTTCTAACAAATAGTCTTTTTATTGTGATTTTCTATTCTTTGTATATGGCAGATTGTGAAATAATCCTCAATGTTGTAGACTACATGTTCAGTCATTAGATATGACAATTATCAAAGTATGGGACTAGGGATGTGAGGGAAGAGTATGTGTAGGAAAGAGAGAAGTTGAAAACATTGAGAGCTGTTATTGCACAATACAGTGCAGTGAAAGAAAACATTGTGATAGGTAGTAATACACCTTCAGTAATGTGGCTTGCCACTGTCATGGTGTCAATGGATCACCAATATTTTTATCTTTTCCAAAAATATTTCCAAGTGGATGGAAATTGTTTTTGAGGGGTACTCACCATTTCAAAAATTCAAGTGAGTGTTGTATCTGCTTGCCTCTGTGCTGTTTAAGGTAGACCTTGTGGAATGATTTTAGACCTTTTTGTGTACAATACCAGTGAAATATCCCAAGTCAATGAGTCAGTTTACTCATTCCACTAAACCTACCTTAACTATAAAAACAGCAACTCCACAGAGTAGCAAATCCCACCGAACAAAACATGTTTTGAGAAATAGCGGCCATATAAAATTTGAATCCAATCCATCCACTGGTATTTGAGTTATCAAAGATTATGTTTTTTATGAAACATGGTGGCCATTTTGAAATTCAGCTGCCACCTTTAAAATTTCTTCTTGAGCAGAGCTCCTATGTCCTTAGGCATCAGCATATCAAATTTGATCCAAATCCTTCAACTGGTAAAAATGGCTGAGATTTTGATAAATAGCGGCCATCTTGAAAATTTCTTCTCGAGCAGAGCTCCTTTATCTCTAGACATCAGTATATAAAATTTGAACTAAATCTGTCCACTGGTATTTGAGTTACCAAAGATTACATTTTTTATTGAAAAGTGGTGGCCACTTTGAAATTCAGCTGATGCCTTTGAAATTTCTTCTGAATCGTATCTCCTTATATTTGCCATTTTTAAAATCTCAAGTGAGTGTTATATCTGCTTGCTTCTGTGCTAGATAAGGTAGACCTTGTGGAGTCATTTTACACCTGTTTGTGTAGAATACCAGTAAAATATCTCAAGTCAGTGGGTCAGTTTACTCAGTCCATTAAACCTACCTTAATAAATACAGGGTGACCCAGAAAAACCAACCATTAAATTTTGATTGCTTTCTCAATTCTGGTTGAATTGAATTGTTTTGAATTCTTGTGTACTGATTGATACTATATTTACATCACATGAGCCTCTGTCATTGTATAATAGAGTGTATTTATTTGCCATTGCCTGCACTTTTAAAATGTCAAAGGCCAATGTTTGTTGTTAAAGATGTAAATGAAGACATTCCTCACTGCCTATTTCAATGAGTAAAATAAGTAAGTAAACTAAGGAACAAAGATAAACTTGAAAATTGTTATCCCATATTCATTCTAGATGTTTCTTGAAAACAGTAAACTGACTGAAATATAACATATAAAGTATATTCATCTTCTATGTTTTTGATAAACCAAAGTGTCCATCTCGTGCTGAATTTCACCATATTGAATGACCTATCATCAAACATGTCCATGCTCTAATTGAATTTCTCAACCAACAAGAATGCAGCATAGCCAATAATGAACGTCCATCTGACTTTAAAATTCAGTTGGCAATACAGTGTCCATGTACAATATTCCAATTCTTGGTCAATGCAACTTGTACTGCCATCTTTTATACAAGAAATGAAACAAAACCACATGAATTTACTCATGGATAATTTGAACCAGCCGACAACTATTTATAAGTAGTTTAATCACACCTGGCCTCAAATGTAAATACACAATTGCCTGCCTCAACCAGGGTTCTATGGTGTAATGGTTAGCACTCTGGACTTTGAATCCAGCGATCCGAGTTCAAATCTCGGTAGAACCTACTATTTTGTGATTTCTATCATTTTGAGTTCACATGGTGAATTATTTCAATCAATCAACCATATGTTCAAATAATTGATTTTTAAATTGTGTCACTCATTTTATCTAAATTTTCTATTTTTAACTACATCATGACACTATTGAAGAATAACTTGATGGTAATTCATCAATAAGATAATAAAAAGTGTGAATGTTGATGCTTCAGAGCATGGCCTCACCAGTATTATTTAAATACCAAGTAAAACTGAATGTTCAATAAAACTGAAACATTTGCTATAATTAAAGGAGTGATCTAGTTTATAACTGTACTTTGAAGGTTAGATAATAATGTAAATATGGTTCTATGGTGTAATGGTTAGCACTCAGGACTCTGAATCCTGCGATCCGAGTTCAAATCTCGGTAGAACCTAAGTATCTTTTTCGTAATCCTGAAACAAATTCATCTTCAGCTGTTCTCATTTATATTCAAAGAGTTTTAGTAACAATCAATATTTTCTATCAATATTCCCTTTTCCCTGTACATGTATATGTTAATTTCATTATTGGCACTTATTTTCAGAATACACATACTCATCCCACAACAAAATTTTTATTTGTTTTCTGAATTTTCCAATCAATCACAGTAGCATTTTCTGTAAAGGTTTTGTCTCAAGCATGTGAAATAAAATCAATATTTAATTGTCACGGTTAATGAAAATAATGAAACTCAAAATGATTTATCATTATTTTTCATCCTGAATATTTATTTCATGTGCTGCTTAACCTTTTATTCATAAAAAGATAATAATATAAGGTTCTACCGAGATTTGAACTCGGATCGCAGGATTCAGAGTCCTGAGTGCTAACCATTACACCATAGAACCTTTGATATCAAATTTGATAAGTTAGTTGCAAATGGATTTACTCAATCATTTCAAATAAATCAGTCATAAATAAAAAATAACATTTATTATGCTACACATAGTAAAATAACTCATATTTGTTCTAAAAATGTGTAGGCTTACAATTCGGGAAGTGGAGATCAAGAGGCATTTTGTAATATGTCACTTTTGTTTTAACCCCAGGTGTTTATTTGGAACAGTGTGATATCAATCTTCATTTCAAACACAGAGCATCAATGGTTCTATGGTGTAATGGTTAGCACTCTGGACTTTGAATCCAGCGATCCGAGTTCAAATCTCGGTAGAACCTATAATTTTATATCACTATTACTTTGTTCTTAAGGAAGGCAAATCATAATGCACATGTTGAAATATTACTTTGTTCTTAAGGTAGGCAAATCATAATGCATATATTTAATAAACTAACATGGGCAACATTGGGTTTTGTACCAAAAAACAAGAGGCAGTATTCAAACGTCATATTTCCTTTTCCCTGCCACTTCCATTCAAAATGTTTCTTTAATAGATGTTAGTTAATTGGAAATGCAATGTTAAAAAGTTCATCATTCTAAGATTCACCTTTTAAACAGAAAAGCAGCCATGAGATCTACAAAATACAGTATCAATGTAGATTTTGAAAAGTTCTGTTTGAGATGTTTCAGTTTCAATTTTAATATTTATAGCAAGTATAATGGAACTTGGGACTTGAAACCATGTGAGATAATTCTTAAGATATTTGAACATTTACAAATCGAGGAATTGCAAACACTTATTTTTAGAAAGATACCCCATTTGTTTTTTTTGACATTGGCAAAAATATTGTTATATCCTGATTCAGGACATTTGTCTTAGCATCTTTTAATTCAAAATAGGCATTTGCATAAACATATCCAAAATAGCTCTTAGTGGGTGCTTTTCATCATTCAAGATCGGTCCTTCACTGCTTTCATAGCAGCTCATGTAATGTAATGCAATGAATTGGGCCAAGGATGGTGCTTTCTGAATACTTGATCTCTGCTAATAATTACCCGTCCCAGATAACTAAGAAGTTACTTGAACATAAAACAGTTTTCATGAAAACAAGTTTAACACATGATTTTATATTTAACATATACATGTATTTACCATATTATTAACAATATCAAAGTCATAAAATACATGTTAAATAGCATTGTAGTTAAAACAGATTGTCTTCCTTAATGTCATCATTCAGGTTTAAAGTGGCACTTGGTTATTTTAATTAATTTTAACATCTGAGTCACATAAAACAAGTATTTTGATGATGCTTGTTTTCAAGAAAAATTGCAGAATGATGAATTGAATATAGTGAAGGTGGATATTATTTAGAATTACAATTCAGAACTCAGGGTTGGTAAGAACTTGAATTGGGATTTCAGACAGTTCATTTTAGGAATAGTATAGGAAATCAAAGCAAAGTTGATAAACAATTTTTAACACCACATTTCTAGATACAATTTTACATGTAGATTTTACATAAGATGTCATTTTGGCTAAATCTTAAATATTTAATGAGGTAAATCAAGATTATTTCTACTTGCATCTTGTCAACTAAACTGTTACCCTTAAACTCCCCATTACCTACACTCTCAGTATAATTACCAAAACTATTAAATTTCATCATATTGTAAAATCAAGTTGTATACATGTACTTATCAATTACTTATGTGAATTGAAGTCAACTTGATTAAGATATGGCCTGGAGAAAAACCACCAATGTTCTCCTCAAAATATTTTCTCAGTTGGATAAAACATTCCAAATATCCCAATTTAATTTTGATGCACAAATGTCCAAAACTAGTGAAGATAAGTCAATGTTTCATAATGTTTCCAGTTTTCAACAGGGTGCCATTAGATTTTTTCAGCAGGTGCAAGATTATTTGAAATTCTCAGCACCCAGTCGGTCAAATACATAAGAAACTGCCGATTATGATATTTCCTATATCACATTCATCAACTTGTCTCTTAAATCTGATTTTCAATGTGTATTCAATGTGTATTCAATGTGTAAGTGAATGTGTCTGTAATGTCTTAGGGCAATTGACATTACATTTTGTTAATTGTATTTCATCCAATAAATACTGGAAAAAAATTATGATATCGAAAAATGCTATGTTTCTTTCTCTGACGATGAAGTCTCTGACTCTGGTGTTGTAGTGGAGGTAATATCATGTTTTACTGCATGGAGGGCATAGTTTATGCTGGTATCTTTAATCCAACTCCAGTGTGTTGTAATGGGATTGTAAAACATTCCGTGAACTAGCCTCGTTGTGAACCCATCTGAAAAAGAAGTTATGCAAAAAATATTTAAATTCAAAACATTGAGGAAATGAAAGAAGAATTGCATACTTTGGATTTGAACAGTTTAAAACTTCTTGCCTTTTCTTGAATTTTTTAAACATTGGTGATTACAAAAATGTTCTTTCATTTTTAATCAAATTTTGGTTTTTGTTAATGATTAAATGTCCAATCTTGAAATGAAGAGTATAAGAAACAACATTTGATGAAGACTAAAGATACCATTGAACCTTATTATTTGATAAAATTACTGGTACTCCACTCAATTACGCTGGTTACCAAAACAGTCGTTTCTGTAACAAAATGTCAGAACCTTGAAGGTCTGATTTTTCTTTTTGAAGTTGCGTTTACGGAACAAAATTGAGGTTAAATTATCAATTCTGTTGTTTTCTGAACTATTTGTTCACAAACATGTACATTTTCTAAGACATATGATACTGACACACATTTGTGATAAAAATATCGTGGGAATTCTGCCTATAACTAGTGAAATAAGGAAAAAAGAAAAATCGTACTTTCGAAGTTCCGACATTTTGTTACAAAAATGATCAGTTTCAGTAACAGCCTAACCGAGTGGAGCAGTGAAAATGCAAAACAATGCAGAACACCACATGGAAGGTGTTCCAATTATAGAGGTTCATTTAACATAAGTTTGTCATGGGATTTTGAAAAGTGTTCCACTAACAAAGGTGTTCCACTTATAAAGGTTTATTCTACAATAAGTAATTTGGTCTTGGGAAGAGCATTCTACTAACTGAGGTGTTCCACTTCTAGAGGTGTTCCACTTTACCTGTTCCACTGTACTGAATATACCGGTGAGGTATTGCTCGCCAAAATATGGTAGTAACAAAAATACAAAACAATACAATAAAGCATAACCTGATACAGCTTTTGCGAAGGAAAACAATTGTCAAAAATAAAATACAATACACTATACTAACCTAAGGCATAAACTGACATTGCTTGTGTGAAATAAATCAATTGTCATCAAACGGACATTATGAGTGGCCTCTAAACAAATGTCCATTTTGTCTATCCATAAAGAAGGTAATAGGCATTAAAACGCATCTATACTTACTATTGTAATCAAACCAGGCAATATTTATGTTATTTCTAGTCAAAGCAGAGATTTATCACATTTTGAACGTGGAGAAAATGTTTAACTATATTGTATGAATTCTATCAATTGAGAATAATTAAATACCAACTTCATCATGATAAATGGACGAATGAGATGTCCTTTATACATATTCATTCTTGAAGTCATTGTTATCTTTTACTTGTATGCAAACAATGGCAAAATTCAACCGTCAAGGCACACACAAAATAATAAAACTATTGTAGGACAATACAACAAAATGAAGACTTACCATAATAATCAAGACATGGAAGATAACATTAAACAGGAACATTTGGATCATGAACAAAATATGAATCAAGATAACTCAAGACACGAGGACATCAATAAAGATAATGTGGATTATTATAACCAAGGAGATTTGGATACTAAAAACCAAGAAAACAACAGTAACCAACAGGATCAACGTGACCCAAAAAATATTGATCATGATAAACAAGAAAATGTGGATTATGATAACCAAGAAAATGTGTATCGAGAAAACCAAGGAACTGTTAATCGTGATAACCATGATAATGTAAAGTATGTTGAACAAGAACATGTGGATCATATTGATGAAGAAACTGTTGACCATGATGACCATGCTAAGAAGGATCACGTTAAACATGAAAATCTGGATCACATTAACTTAGAAACTGCTGATCATGATAGCCAAAATAATGTGGATCATATTAAGCAAGAAAATTTTGAACATAATAACCTAGAAACTGTTGATCGTGATAACAATGATAATGTGGATCATGTTAAACAAGAAAATGCTGATCATTTTAACCAAGGAAATATGGATGATATTAACCAAGAAACCGCTGATCATGATATACAAGAAAATGTTGATAATTTTAACAAAGGAAATGTGGATGACATTAATCATAACCCAGGTAATAGTGATCAGAAAAAACAAGAAGATATGTATGCAAGAAAACAGGAAAACCATGGTAACCAAGAATCTTTGGATCATGAATTCCAAGAAAATGTAGAACATGACAATCAAGAATATGTGGATCATTTTGGAATATATTCAAAAGCCAATAGACAGTTGGTCTTATATAACAGAATGCCAAAATGTGGCTCCTCCACTATGATATATTTTCTAAGGAGACTTCGAAGAAAATTTAAGCACATACAATCTACAATATATTGGAAACCAAAACTATCACATGAAGATCTTCGAACTTTTGTCAAATCATTCACATTTCATAAGGTTACTGCAAAACAATGTGTTTTTGATCGCCATATATATTTTGTTGACTTTGAAACGTTTGGATACAAGCAACCAATTTATTTCAACATTCTTAGGGAGCCACTTGAGCAAACTATATCATGGTATTATTATATGTTTCAAAGAATGGGGAACAAAGAAGATGAAAGTAAACGAGAAAAATTCTTCAAAGAGCACAAAAAACAGACATTTGAGGAATGCATCATGGAAAATATGAATAGTTCTGCCCTGGATGAAAAATGTTTCTTAAACACGTTGAATAAACCGACTAGTTATGTTGAATGGTTTTGTGGCCATCATGATCAATGCTCAAATATGACATATGGAATTCCTAAAGCAAAATATAATATTGAAAAATATTACATGCTTGTTGGTATAATGGAAGAATATGATCTTACACTGTTAGCTATGGAAAAACTACTACCATCTTTCTTTAAAGATATTGGACAATTTAACGCAAACAGAACCAGATTAAATACAGCACGGAATGCAAAAAGAAGAGAACCTTCAACAGAAATATTAACATTTATGAAAGAACACCTGAAGTATAAATATGAAATATACAATTTTGTTAAACAAAAGTTTCACCTCACAATGAAAAAGCTCAAAATTGACAGGAATTCAGGGCTTTGAATGTTAAAGCCACACTGTACTTCTGAGCCGATAAAATTGTTCAAAAAATTTTCTTCTGGCTTTAGAGTCCATTTCATGGTTTAAAATCTTCTCTGATGATTCTATTTTCAAACTATGCATGAAGATCCATTCAAAGTTGTCTATTGAACCTTGGAAAGCCATATTTAGACTGAGGATTGAAAGTTGTTCATGAAAACTTCCAGTTCATCTTTATTAAGATGAACCGGAAGTGAATTTTCGAGTCGAGTAAATCCTGAAATCATGGTGATAATGTTTTTTTTTTGAATCGGGGAAGTCAAAACATTACTAATAAAAATCATAGTAAGCATTTGAAGATCATTTAGAAGAATTATGTGATTTTATCGATCAAAACAATGTTTTTATGAATTTGTCTGATATCTGCTTAAATATGGTAACTGGGGTTGATTGTTAAATTACAAAATAGGTTGGGTCAAGAATATGTCAAAGTCGTTTGATCTCGTCCCAGAAGCTACATTTGTTAATCCTATCGATTATAAGATTATAGATATTCAAAACCTAATTCCCTTTGCCTGGGGGACAAGATTTAGTTGCAGCATTTGAAACATGGAAACATACCAGTTATATTAGCTTTTAGTGCAACTTTTTTAAGATCTGCAGGATTCAATCTTAACCAGAACAACGGCAACGCCAAAGCGTAGCGAATCCCATCGAACAGAAATGGCTGGCATTTTTACAAACGAAATATATAGCAAATATCATAGAATAACACACATAAGAAAGGCCACCACTTTCAAAATGGTTGCTCACTAGCCAAGTTGTCATCAGAGGAAGTAATATGCTTTTTTTTATAGTATTCACATACCAAATATGAACAAAATCACTCCAAAACTTTTCGAGTTATAGTAAAATACTTTAAAATGGTGGCCATTTTTCAAAATGGCCGCCTTCTACCAAAAGTGTCAGTAGACAGTGTACCATGCTTATAGCATTCACATACCAAATATGAACTAAATCGCTCCACCACTTTTCGAGTTATAGTAAAATATGTTAAAATGGCGGCTATTTTTCAAAATGGCCCCTTCTACCAAAAGTGTCATTAGACAGTGTGCCACGTTTATAGTATTTGCAAACCAAGTATGAACAAAATCGCTCCACTACTTATCGAGTTATAGTAAAATATGTTAAAATGGCGGCCATTTTTCGAAATGGCAGCCATTTTTCAAAATGGCCACCTCCTAACAAAAGTGTCATTAGACAGTGAGCCCTGCTTATAGTATTCACATACCAAATATGAACAAAATCGCTCCACTACTTGAGTTACAGCAAAAATCGTAGAATAACGAGTAAAGGCCACCATTTTTCAAGATGGCTGCCATCTTCTTCTTTAATATCTACATTTCTAGCTTTATCAATGTCCTTTATAATTTTTTTACATTAAAAACATATTGCTATTACAATTTTACATATTGCACCTAAATTACTGTAAAATCGGCACTAAAATGGCCGCCATTTTTAAATGAGCGGCCATTTTGAAAATCGGCTTTCGAGCAGAACTTCTACCCCCATAGGGTATATGTGTACAAAATATGAACAAAATCGGGTCAACGGACGGACAGACGGACGTACGTACGTACGGATGTACGTACGTACGTACGGATGTACGTACGTACGGACGGACGGACGGACGGACGGATGGACGGACGGATGGAGGCGTTCCCTATATCCCTCCGAACTTCGTTCGATGGGATAATTATATTGTGTTTTACTGTGAAGACACACTTGTAAAAAGGTGCCACTGATACAAAAGTGTAATTCTAAATAAATAGAAATAAGATAAAATCATAGATGTATATGGGGATAATAAATATTTATCTAAAAATGTAACTCACTCTTATCTACCAGAAACTGCAAATCTTGGGGAGAAACAAACTTCTCCCATTCATGCATGCCTTTAGGAACCAAGTTTGCAATATTTTCAGCAGCAAATATCCCAATTGCATAGCTCCAGTATGTTTTGTTGAGAGTGGTCAGAAATAATGATCCTCCCGGCTAAAAACACATAAATAAAAAAATTAATCTCAAAATCAACAATGAAATACAAGTAACACTGGCAGATCGAGGGGGGGGGGGGCTGGGGCATGGGCCTCATGAGCCCAGAAAATATTTTAAGGCCAAATGAACAAAATATGGACCTTGATTTTTCTTGGGCCCAATTTTTGGTTTTAGGGGCCCAAAATTTGTTATCCTGACTTGAAATGTGGGTCCCCCCTTGTTAGCTTCTAGATCCGACAGTGTGTAAAGTAGGAAATTTCAATACTGACACTATCCAAAGAATGCATTTTATATTCTATATTTTTGCACTATAGCAACATGAGAGGAACAGGGTTTACAAATAATGCCTCACTATTTAATCCCTTGTTCAGGAAAAATGTGATGTTCAGAGATGTGCCAGATTGCTAAATTCACAATTTACAATTTGAGCATTATTGAAATAATTAATGAGTTATTTGTTTGAAACTTACATAATTTTCTTACAACTTAATATAAATAATTTCAAAATGCAGATTGTGACTGGTAATAAAAAATAAGCATCCTCAGTTTTGATCATTTTTCACACTAAATAGTACACCTGTCACCCAGCCATCCTTTTAAGTTCCAAAAATCTGATTATAAATAGAATGTGTGTATTATTTAGGACGAAACTATACCTTGACTAATTTACAGCAAGCTTCAATAAACCCTGGCTGATCGTTGACATGTTCAACCACCTCTGACGCAATTACACCATCAAACCGTCCTTCCTCTGTTGCAATGAGGTCTTCTGCAGAACAGTTGATGTATTTAACATTGAGGCTCAATGCAGGGTCAAAGGATTTATGGAGCTGGGCTACGTTGATGTTGTCCCCTGTAGCATCAATGCCTATCACTGTTGCTCCTAACCGACCTAATGCCTACAACAAATGTAGCAAAAATTATGAAATAGTATGAAATATTTTTGCTGAATTTTTAAGGGGAGTAGAAGGGATATGGGAGAGTTGAGAGTAAGTTTCAAGAAAATTGTCACAATTTTACAATATTCCTGGCTCTCAGTTTCATCATTCCTTGCCATGCCTAATTTCTACTAATGCCAACAGGTCTGGCTGTGTTTCAGGATAATCATTAATTTTTAAGGTTACCTAGCACTAAGGCAAGGGAAATGAATCAATAATGCTAAAGGCGTGTGTAATGAAACTCAAAATACAAAATGTCTCTTACCTCAGAAAGTATTCCTCCTCCACATCCAACGTCTAATAATGTCAGCCCAGAAAGAGGCTCTACTGCATTTTTAATTTCACACTGTTCAATTAAACCGTCTCTTATCATTGGCACTCGTAAATTGTTCATTGAATGTAATGCTTCATATTCTCCTGAAGGATTCCAAAATGTTTGAGCAATTTTACTGAATTTTTTTATTTCATTGTCATCCACATGCGAGACCATTGGCCTTTGTTTATGTTCAATGCGTGATGATGAACTGTAGAATCTGAAAATAAAAGTGCCTTTGGGATGAATATACATATCCAACATATGATCGAGATGAAATAATACCTCAGAATCGTCAGATCCCCCTAGGTCACTAGTGATCCACTCGATTACGCTGGTTACAGAAACGAACCATTTCGGTAACAAAATGTCAGAACCTCGAAGGATGACTTTTCTTTTTTCCTTAAAATTGAGTGGATCACCGAAATTATAATGGAATAATAATTAGTCAGCAATTATCTATTTTCTTACTAAATCACTTATTGTTATTGGTAGTACTTCTTATGAATGTTAAAGACAAAAACAACTTGAAATTGTTGATTATACAATTATGCGTTCCATTGATTTTTCCATGAGTTCCATGAGTTTTTGTGATGCTGCGCTATCTTTGAAAGTACATAAAGTACATAACTTCAGTTCTACAAAAGTTATTACCTGGGTTTTTATTTCATTTTAATTGAAAGCCCATGATTTGAAAGATAATAGATTATAATTTAAAAAAATAGCAATTTTTGGCACCCCCTAAGTTACATTGACCTTGATTTGACCTTTGTGGAGGGGGGTATTTGCATTAAGAAAAGTGAGAATATATTTCTTTTATTGACATTTTGTATCAAAACATGACACATTAGTCTATGTACAAACTAGGCTGTCTTGACACAAGACAATACTACACTATTCACAAATGCTAGACTACATTTATAACTAAACTTTATGCATGTAACATATAATTATTAGTATGAGGCTACAGGCTTTCTATAAAACTAGATGCATAAAAGATAAAAAAGAAGATATTAGCAGTGTAGCACAGTAATTGTAGTCTACTCTAAATTTTGGAAAGAATGGTAAACATATTTGCCAATATGCCTTTGAACAGTAATATTTTGCGAAGACAGTAGCATTTTAAAATTTGTTTCATTGATTAGAAAATCGGGTCCAAATATTTCTTTCATTTTTTCTAGAAGGACACTCCTTTGTGCATCATGTTTTTTACAATTAATAAAAAAATGTTTTTCATCTTCTACAGATTTACAAGTTAGGCAAAGTCTATCATTTATTGGAATAGGTTTAGGTTTAGAATAGCGGCCTGTTTCAATTCGAAGTTTGTGTGAGCTTAGTCTAAACCTGGCTATTGATTCTCTATATTTTCTATTATCAAGTTTTGTATAAGTATCCAAGGAAAAGTCATTCTTAAAGGTGTTATATGTGCGAAGTATAGGGAAGTTGTGATTAATATCAGTTTTCCATTTATCAACAAAGTTACTCCTCAAGGTTTTTTCAACATTGAATGGTACCATTTCTTTACTTTCTAAATTATCTTGATCCTCCCAGTGTTTTGTCATATTAGTTTTACATAAAATATCATAAACTTTTGTAGCCCAAGTTTGAAAACCTAATTCGTGCATTTCCTTTTCATAGGAATATGCTTTATGGAGTATATTTGTTGGGGGGAGTTGGAGGATTCTTATCCAGTATTTTATTAATGCAGTCTCAAATTTTACAGAAATTGGAAAACGGCCTAAGTCTCCATAAATTGCTGGACTGGCAGTTTGTCTTTTTACTCCGAGAATTGATTTAATAAATCTCAAGTGCACCATTTCAAGATCATTTATATGTTTTTCTGTTTGCCATATCTCACACCCATATGTAAGAATGGGTGTTACTAGGGTGTCAAAAATATGTAAAGCTACATTGACTGGTACATCACCAAATTTCTTATATTGGCTTTTTATTTTAAAAATTGCCTTTCTTGATTTACCAATTAGATGTTTAATATTTTTGTCAGATTTATTATCGGTAGTTTGGATACACCCAAGATATTTATATTCAGTAACACATTCTATTTTTTGGCCATTGAAGTGAAAGAAAGTATCTATTTTCTTTGTATTATACAAGAGAACTTTTGTTTTTATTGTATTAACTATCATTCTATAACTTTTGCAGAAATTAAATAAAGCATTGAGTTGTCTTTGAAGACCCTCGGCAGTGGTTGAGATTAGTTTCAAATCGTCTGCCCACAAAAAGTGATTGATCATCTCACCCTGAATCCGTACACCGCAGTCATTTGGTAGAAATTCAGTCAGATCATCTAAGAAGTGATTAAATAAATAAGTACTGAGCACACTACCTTGCATAATTCCTACCTCAGTATTAAATGTTGATGTTATACCAGCTCTAAATTTCAGACAAGCTTTTGATTTTGAATACATGCTTTTTATTATAGTAAATATTTTACTCGAGGGATGTATTCCTGATTTGCATAATTTAAAAAGTAAAACATCACGATCAATATAGTCAAACGCTTTCTTAAAGTCAATTACACATGTATAAAGGATTTTCTTATGTCTTTTAAATTTGTTTTTTATTGTTTGAAAAATAAAAAGATTGTATGTGGTCCTGCTATTTTTCTTAAAGGCACCTTGAATTGGATCTTGTAACTTGTAAGTTAATTGTTTCAGCATTAAAGACTAATCTATTATGAATCACTGAGTCAAAAACATTGCCAATATATAACTTTTATTGACATCTTGTATCATAACATGATTACATTAGTCATAATTATGAAAAAACTAAATATCTAAACTACAAATACTAACTAAGGCAAAAGTACAAAAATATATACGAGATATACAAAAACCCAAAATAAAGGTAGTATACATCATGATGAAAGGACAAGGTTACATTTAAAGTGTGGTGCACATACCCTGCATTCTGACTACAAATTCTTAAATGAATGATAAATGAATTTTCAAATGTGTCTTTGTAATGTTAAGTTTTTACTTGAAATGAGATTGACAAATAAATTTTCACTATTGAGGTCAAAGTTACTTAGAATTTCACGAGCCTTAGTGTACAATAATTGTCTATGCTCATCATTCTTTGTACAAGTTAAAAGGAAATGACATTTATCCTCTATATGTTTACAGGTATTGCATAATCTTTCCTCTCTAGGTTTTGGTTTTGGCTTTGCATGTCTTCCAGTCTCAATCGCCAATCGATGAGAACTCATTCGAAATCTACTTATCGCCAATCTATACTTTTTATTATCTAATTTCAAATATAATTCAATTCTAAAATCTTTTTTGAACAATTTATACGTTGCAATTCAAGCTAACACATTGATGCCTCTATAGTTATCTGGATTAAATTGACTACCTTGTTTGTAAATGGTGCTTAACATACCAATACTCCAGTTTTCAGGATAATCATCTTTATTACAAGAATGAGTTGTGTCAAGATTTAAAAAATCGTCTTTAAATATGATGAAAAACATTTGAACATTTTAAGCACATTAGAAAGGTATTCCCATAAAATGATGTTTTTACGAGCATAAAATAGGTGTTTTGATACAGAAGATTCGACACATTTGAGTAATATTTTTTTGGCGTAGTCAGGCCTGTCAACTTGGGAACACCCAACATGAGTGACTTACAAAATTTTGGACAACTCAGAATTGTCGTGCTTGCTGAGTTCGCATTCAGGAACTCTGTCAATGGAGGGGGGTAGGTAGGATATATTTCGATGAAAATTCGTGACATATAAGGTCTCTGTGAAAAGTTCAAATGAAATCTATTCGTTTTTTTCGGCGTTCGTTAATTTCCTAAAGGGCAATCACTTTTTTCTCCAGAAATATTTTTGCTTGACAATAATCAGGTAAAATGCGTATTTGCATGACAGAATATTCTGTCACGCAAAAATAACTGGAGTGACTTCAAATTTTCCAGCAAATGTGTGACAAATACGCAAATTGCGGGACAGTTGGATGGCCTGCGCAGTGTTAGATTTACACCTTACACCGCTGGTATAGAGTTTCCATCTAGTGGATTACTAGCAATGGGATGTATAAATAAGTATGGATAACAAACCTGTTTTGTCCTCTAGTTCTCTGTGATAGACTGTAAGAGCAGATCTTGCAATGCACAATTTTGTCAAAAGGTTCTGATCTAGGATGGAGAGTTCGTACACCGTCAAGATTAGAAATTTTAATACAGTTTCCTCTCGTGAGACTTCTAATCAACATGCTTTTATTAAACATTTTATATGCCTTCTATGTTCTGAAATAACTCGTAAAACAGCAAAATCAGTAAAAAAATAAAAAAAAAATTTTGACCGGAAGTTGTAGAGTGCTCGTGACGAGGATAAAATTACTATTTCATCTTTGTTTTTTTGCTTTTCATACATTTTCTTCTGAATTTTGTTTATGTTTGACAAGAAAATTGCGAGTAATAACATTGTTTCAGTATATCAATAAAAATTCTAGGATTTTTATCCTATTCTTGTAATAAATATATATAAAATTGTTGATGCTTGTTTTGAATTGGAAACCGCCATATTGGATCTGCTGGCGTGAAAAATGAAAATTCGCTCAGATTGAAAGTGGAAATACAGGTATCATCCAAATAGCTTTTGATTTTATATTGTATTTAATGCTTATATATTGATATGCAGCACACAATTACGTCCGAAGTAGTTCATTTTATTCGATATTATCTCGTACTTTGACATTCAATTTTAGGGTTGTTGTTTGTGAGTGAAGCTTCTCATGAAAGCCCATGGTGAGCAAATCATTCCATCCCATGATTTTTCTGACAACTATAAACGTTGATCATGAATAATAAGGAAATGATATAACACTCCACGTGACTAGTTACCAGTATGCAATATGTATTATAAAACCCACGAGGTTACATTGTAAAACTCAAAGACAACAGCAGAATCTATTTTTTTATTATGATTTTTCTGTTACTCGCCAATTGACCTTTTGCGATCAGTTTATGGATACTGTTGTCGTGTATTTCGTCTTATTGGTGTGACGTCACATAGAGTCCATTTCACTGCTTCATTTCGTCAGTAGAACGGCAAAAATAAGAAATTGGGAGACCATTGTGCAATAATATATGGAAAAGTATATTCATAATGTACATGAATGACATTTGTATATTTCAGATTTTTTAGTTTTTTGTGCAATAAGCCTGTGCCGTCTTGTAATTTGAAGAATTTCAGCCATGTTAATCTTATTGAAAATAACATGGCAGAGAAACATCCAAATATAAGAGGCCACACACTTTATAAGCCAAACTAGAAGTTCTAGGGATATTACGGCTGTGAGGCAATTTTGAGGAAATCATTTCCGTATTTTTTCAAAGCTGTTATTTATCACATTTGATAAACCCCCATTCCATTTCTCTGTTTTATTATAAAGAGTTATAATAAACCTTGTGTACTTACATGTTTTGAGTTATGTTAATTATATATTTTTGACATTATAATGGATTTTCTGCAACATTTTGGTATTTTTGAGCGTGACGTCATGGCACCACGAAAAGTAAATAGGCTAAAAATGCAGTGATTGAAATGTGTTTTTCCGGGAGAGACTGTACACGGTAGGCTAATTCTGTTTTTTTAATTCGATAATATATATCTAGGAGAAAATAAAACGAGATGATTCCAGGTGGTTAACAGAGTTCGGAAGACAGTAGAGCTCAAGAAAGCCAAAACTTGACCATTTTTCCATGTTTTTCCAATTTTTTAAGAAACCTATTCGCATTTACAAAAAGCATCACCCAGATTAATATAATTGAATACAATGTTGATAATTTCCTGCAAAAATTATCTTATGAAAGCGCTTAACCGCTCCCGGAATTCGATTCAAAAACTACTCACACATTGAAAATTCCCAAAACTGCTTTCTGGCTTGTCGTGACGTCACTTCTTGGGCGCCATATTAGATTTTGGAAAAATGATTTGTCAAAATAATTATGCAGATTATCCGGTAAGTTATCCTATAATTTACCAATTACATGTGATACTTGTATTCAAATGTAATACTATGGTCTTTCTCCTACGTCTTAATGCTCTAACTTTTATGATAAATAGCTTAGCTAACAGTATTTTAAGCTTTGAAGCGGATAGACATTTTCGCGGGAAAATTGTTCAAAAATTTTTGATTCATCCTTACAATTTCCAAATGAATGCTAATAGCAGCTGAATCGCATATCTCTGGTGGATCACGCATTCAAAATTGATAGACTTAAATAACTTTCAATGGTGTGAATGTGCAATTGATGCACATATTTACCGATTTATCTCCATAAAAAATAGTTTTCAAGTTGAGTGATAATTTACTACTTTATTATCGCCCATCCGGAAGTAAACATTACTGTAATCAGTTTTGTCAAATTGATTACATATATCAGCATTATGCATTATTTCAAGCACATTCAGCTCAAGGTGAGTTGTATATATATTTTTTGTCATATAATTACTCATTTTTTGTGACATTATCATTATTTTTCATATTGTAAACATTCTAGAAAGCTATGTAATGTATGTAGAGTACAGGTTGGTACAATGGTACATGTACATCAGGTGTATACATTACAAAGATACGTGTGTCTAAATGAAATTCACAATTGATTTCAGGAAAAATCTATAGAGTTGGAAAGACATATCTGCATACCTTGTATTAAATGTAAAGAACTGCGCTGCCTGGCCTGCCCCATACCTCAGCATTTAGTCAACCCTGGTAAGCATATATTGTCACAATGTTGTTGAATATAATTGCTGAGTTTGATTGTCATTATACGGTTGTCTCTTTTTATTATTAAAGCAGACAACAGTAAGTGTCTAGTTCACGATTCAAATTCATGTAATTGTTGATTTCTAAACATTTGAGGATAGGCCTAATATTTATAGTATTTGTTAGCTAGTAGTTGTCTTGACATTATGGAGACTTATATTATACATGTACATCCCTTCATATATGATGATATGTACATTCACATGTTGTTCCATTTAAATTTCAGGAATTGGGAGCTGTACATCCTAGCTTGCTGTTCCACCATTGTAAGTATTTTGTTCATATTACTTCTTCAACGCACATTTGATGGTCTATAAAAAAGTTGTAAGATCATTGTTTTGGTTAACTTTGGAAATACATTTAATTTTAATTACAGGAACAGATATGTCTTCTAGTGAGGATAGTGACATTGAAAGTCAGTCATATGTAGCACTATTTCACAATAGGTGGACTTGTCAAGTTTGTCAAGTGGGGACAGATGGAGCAGAAACTTTCTTATTTCGACATTTCGAAGACTCTTCTCTTTTACTTGCGGAATTTTCTGGACAGTTTTATATTTTTTGCCCCAAATGCTCTCTTGTGTACCATTTACATTGTGTTCTATCCTATATTTCTGAGCCTGACCGTGATGTTTCATTTCTTCAGCAGCATGGTTTCTTATGTTGTTAATTCTTCAGTATTTCTTTGAAAGAAAAATAAATAAGTGTAAATGTACATCATGAAAATATTGAATCCATTTGTGTCCTATTAATTGGTATACTAAGCTATTGGAATATTGAATGATAAAAATTCATATCTATACGTCAGCACTTTTCACACTTGACTAGGTGAGGAAACTGGTTTCTTTTTTGATGTTTTGTTGGATTTTTCATGATGTTTTACTTTTGCTTGTTCTCTTATTAAAGATGGTTATTTCTTGGATAACATACATTTATTTAATAACTTGATAGTAGTGTGATAATATGTGTAACTAAATTGTCCAAAGAAAAGTTGTGAGAATATCATTCAATTGATCAGTTTTACTTTTTCATTATTTATTGACTAATTATTAGACTCCAGATGAAAATCTGGAGTCTATTGTTTTTGCCTCTTTTCTTTATTATTAGACTCCAGATGATAATCTGGAGTCTATTGTTTTTGCCTCTTTTCTTTCTTTCTTCTTCTTATTCTTTCTTCCTATTATTATTATTTTACTGAGCACGTTTTCTCAACAACTATAAGGTATCATCTATTCAAGACAATTATATTGGTAATTAAGGTACTTGATCTATTTGGTGGGAAATTGAGTCAAATTTTTATCTAGGTCAAAGGTCAAGAACTAGTCAAAACTTACATTTTCAACATTCTGTCAACTATCTTGGTCGTTATTTATCGAAACGTCTTCTTCTTTTTTTAATCACTTAGCTTAGAAACAGCTCTTTCAAATCTGTCATCTGGAGTCTGAAATTGAACTTGTTCAGTTTCCATTTTCTTGTAATTAATTCCTATTGTATTAAAGCTCATATGATTGGGAGTTTGGACTTTTTATTACAGATGTAGCTGTAAAACAACTGATGCACAATCTCAACAAGTGGCAGCTGCTCTGCATCTCCAAAGTATTAGAAAGGTGAGTGTTTAATAAAATCTATCAATATTAATAAGACAAAATATAGAATCAACATTTCTTTTTACCAAGATGCAATTTAAATGTTAATATAACACGAGTTAGCAATTTGGAAAACAAAACTACATTATTTGATTGATCTGTGTTTTCAACCATTAACAATTAATGCTAAAATAGCAATGTCTGCCACCTCTTCTCATTGAAAGAGATTGATAAAGAATTTTAAGAAATTTATTTAGATAGAGTAGGTATAAGAAGTGAAATACTTTTATTTCTTAGATGGCATCTATCAGTTCTAGCTTAGCCCCTACACACTTGTCCAATAAAGTAGTAGTTGATATCATTAAAGCAAATGGGTTAGGCTCTGACACAGTAAACAAACTAAAACATGACTTTCCAACTAGTGTTTCATCGAATGATAAGTATGTCATAGTGAAGCTGAAAAGAATGATGATGAAGTACCATAAGCTTATACGCAACAAAAATCAAAAAGAGTTAGATTCCTTTCTGTGTGAAGAATTTTCCTCAGTACCATCTGGATGCCAACCAGTTGAATCAAATGTGAGTTTAAAACGTAAACTAGCACAGATGAAAATTGAAAAGGGAACTTTAGTTCAGGAAAAAAATGAAAAAGACCAGGAGATTGAGGAGATTACAAATGACTTCTCTCTGTCATTAAGAATCAATCAAAACGAAACTCTAGAAATACAGAATGAATTAAAGGAAATGGAATCAAAATATCAAAAAGCATCAACAAGACTTCAACAAGCTAATGTTAAGATAGCGGGAATGAACATAAGAAATGTAAATAAAAAATTGAAAAGAAGAGATACCACCATCAAAGATTTACAGGTAACAATAACAGATCTCAAACAGAACAATGAACCACCAACAACTAATGTACATGTACCATCAGCAGATATAATAGAAGAAAATAAAAAGCTGAAAAAGAACATTTCCCAATCCAAAGACAGGTACAAGAAAAAAATTGAAGCCCAAAAATGTGAATTAAATGATGTTAAAAAATCTTTAAACCAGACCAAAAATCAACTACAATATTCAGAATCCATTAATGAGTATCTCAATGACATGATGCAATCTGAAGAAGTCATAACATTTGAAGGAAACCGGTATTCAGATGCCATCCGAGAAACTGTATTTATGCTGGTAACTGATTGTGGAGTATCCATGAATCAAGTGGGGAAA